TTTATTTCCTTAGACCGAGGGTTGGGCTTAGTTGATGGCAGATGTGCTAAGAGCTGAGCTCTTACCTGGAAATGTTACAGGCATGGTCCTGTACCTTCAGATTCTTACTCCATAGCCCTGGCATCTCCTGGAAAAAGATTGCTTTCTGGTCTTCCTCCCAAGATGTCAGACACTGTCTCACTGGGTTTTCTTTCCTGGTTTGCAGTGGGGGCTGTCTCAGCTAAATGGGTGGATAAGTACCCAGATGTGGCAGCAGTTAGCTGACAGCCTCCAGGCATAGCACCTTTGGAGTCTGCAGCAGCATTGGCCACTGTCTTCCTTGGAAGCCCCCAGCCAATGACTACACATAGGTGGGGCACCAGAGTAAGCCATTTCTGCCCAACTGGGACTCTTCCATGGGAAGTCTTTGCACCAAAGCTCCCTGTTGGCTGGCTGAGACTTTCTCAGAGTAGCACTGAATGTGGGGCTCTTACCCAACCTTTTTTCCCTTTCCCTCTCTCCCCACAGATGTCAGACTTGAAACATGGTCTGAAGGTTTTCCCTGCTGGGTCCTGCTTTCTCCTCCTTTATCTTGGACAGGCACTTCCTCCAATAACTCTCTTGCACTTTTAAAAAAATAAAGTTTATTTAAATTGTATTTATTTATTTCTTTTTTGCAGTGGGGTCTCACTCTGTTCCCCAAGCTGGAGTACAGTAGCTCTATCATGGTTCACCGCAGACCTGAACTTCTTGGGCTCAGACATCCTTCTGCCTCAGGCTCCCAGTAACTCCAGCTTATTTTATTTTATTTTATTTTATTTTATTGATGAGTTCTATGTTCCCTGGGCTGGCCTTGAACTCCTGAGCTCAAGCAATCCTCCTGCCTCAGCCTCCTAAAGTGCTGGGATTACAGGCATGAGCCACCACACCCAACATAAATCTCTTGCACTTCTAACTCTGTCTTGGCAGCAGCTTCCTGGCAGACCCTGCTGCCATCCAGGCCCTGACCCCTCTCTGGTTGTCAGATCCCAGTCCCCCAAGGAGATGAGTTCCCTCTCCTTCTCCCATCTTGAGTGCTCTATTCCCCATCCCTGCCTCTCTCATGAGCACGCTCTATTCAGAGTCTCAACCTGTGCCTGGTACATAGTAGACTCAGTAACTATTTGTTTTTGAATGAACACTGAATGCTCTGGAGCTAGGCACAGCCCTCCCCGTTTTATCGGCACAGAGAGCTCTCTGGGTGAGGCTGGGAGTGCCAGATTCAAGGGGCAGAGGGAAAGCACACCTTAGTCCAGTGAAGAAGAAGACCCTGAGGCTGGGAGGCTTCAGGAGAGCCAAGAGTCTCCCAGGCCCTGGGGAGACCCTCCCTACACACGAAGTCAGATCTGATTTTTCTCCTGATCTGCAGGTGACTCCCAGCACTCCTCTTCTAGGGCCTTACTCCATCTATCTTGACTATGGGAAAATGTGAATGAAAAAGGGCAGGGCACACCAGGGATTCTCTGT